ATCTCTTCCACTCCTCCAGCTCGATGAAGAGACGGTCCATTTTGGAGCGGAGCGTGTGTAGTGGCCTGTCCGCGCGGTAGATCTTGTGCTGGATCCTCGAGTCAATCCGGCGCAGCTCGAACAGGTAGATCGCGAACGTTAGGGAAGTGATCCTGTCGGTCCGGGGAGGGGCGGCTAGTATAGCGGGGTCTTGGACGTCGTCATCCACGTCCACCGGCAATGGCAGGTCAATTTGACGGTCTGCGATGCTAAAGGGTCGACCAAGAGACATGGAGATGACCCTCTCGAGATAGTAGATTGTCCAGAAAAGTCGTCGCCGCATCTGTGCGGTCCATGGATCCAGATTGATCTCGTTCGCCTTCCTGTGCAGGCCAAGGTCAATAGCGGTGCGCATGGCGAGGCCAATTAAGTACCAGACGCCATGACTCGACGCTGAGCGAAGGTGATATACCACCAGGAGAGTCATTGCCTCTATATTTTCGATAGATCGTACTTCACACATAGAAGGGACCTGTTGTAGAGCCGTGATGTAGTATCGCTAAACAAGGTCAGAGCTCTAGTCCTGATGAGAGAAGAAAGCTGCGGTAGGCATACCTCTGGAGGCACATATGTGTATTTCTCGCTGAGCTGGATTGTCGTCGCCCCAATCGCATACACCAGGTACAACTTGAACAAGCCAAATCTCTCTGCCTTGGAGAGCTCTTCCCGTTTGGTTTTGGCCAACCGCCATCGAGCTCCATGGAGCTTCCACAGCTCTGCACGATCAAGGAACGGATAGCGCACATGCAGCCTAGTCAGGTACGCATGTAAAATCTGCGTTCCCATCTCATCGTTCGGCGGTTCGGTACTTTTGACCAGCAGCTCCTCCATCTGCCGCGGTCGGGGCTGGTCAGGGACATTCTGACTCCCACTGGACGGTTGAGGAGGCAGACCTGTAGAAGCGACCGCCTGACCAGCAGTAGGCCCACCACTACCCCGTGAAGAGGCCTGGTGTATATGAAATGGCGCGAGAACTTGGTTCCAAACAGTTGCCTGAACCATTTCGCTGAGGTTGGCTGCCAGCGAGAGCCCGGAGCTTGAGCCTACATAGGCGGGGGCTTCTGCGGAGTTCAGAGCGAGAAAGCCAACGAGCTCACCGACAGTGTTGTGGTTCAAGTTTGAAGTAGACGCAGGTTGGATGGCCTCGTGGCTCTGAGGAGATAAAAGTGCTGCAAGTGGATGACCCGCGTTGCCACTTGCATTGTTGCTTTGCGGTCTCGCTTGCAGCTGGGATTCAAGATAAGTAATGCGTTCTTCCAGCGCGCGTGTATAGCTTTATAAATCAGTGCTCCGAACAATTATCGTCAGGAAGAGCTGGTGCTCATCGGAACAAGATGACTCACTCATTCGATTGGCCACTCTCCTGTCGAAGAACCGTCGATTTATCGCATGAAACTCCAGCTTTGCGGCAGTTGGAGCAGGCCGGATAATCATTATCGCACTATATCGCTCAGCCTGATGATAGACCAAACCCGGTAGACAACGGCTGACCTTTTGCTTCCTGGTTTTGCAGCGCGTACATGACGTCCTTACGCGCTTTCGAGGGTTGTGATCTTTTGACGGTAAAGGCACCTCTGAGTTTGATACTTGCTCAGGGATATCCATTTTGACAGATTATACAGGTAGACATCTTCTCTGTTGCTGATTGAATAACACCACTGGTGTTAGATTGATGTCAAGTGGATGCTCGCTAAGTTGACGAAGTCATCAAACCATCGTGTACGATGCCAAGACGTGGTAACTGGACCAGTTCGGGATATGCCCATTCTCTTGATTGATGAAATGCTTTGCTCGGATACGATAGTAGATGTGCTTATTAATTATGAGATATAATCAATGATGGCAAATCATGAAATAACATTTTCATCAGATTTTCTATGTACGGCTAAAATGGTATCTAGTCAATTTCTACAAACGCCGCTAATGCTAATGTCGAGAACTATTGAAGACGAGGTTAAAGCCATCATAAGATCACTGCGCTGTGCGATGCGACCCTTAGTATTTCCAGCCCAGCCATGTTGGCCTATCGACTGTTGCTGCCGTCAGCTTCATGACCCTGAATCTTGTTGGACTTCTCAGAAGGCTGAGTCGGAAGAGCTTCTTCGTCTGACTTCTGTTGTGCAGCGTTCCGTTCTTCCTCCTCCCCTGGTTCCTTTGGCCGTTCGAGGCCTCGATCGCGGATGAAGAGACAAGCTGCGAAACACAATCCAATCAGAGGAACTTGTAGGATGAAGACGCTCCTTGAGGCCATTGCATAGGCATCGAGAATCTGCGACCAATCCGAAGCGGATATGTCCGACGGCGAGGGAAGAGAGTACGTCGAGTGAGCCAGGTTTTGGTATCCATTCGGTAGGTTTGATCGGAGTGTTGCTTGCAAGATAGCAGCGGAAACGGCCAGTCCACAAGCGCCTCCGAGACAACGGAAGAAATTTCGATTTGAAATTACTACCGCTCGGTGAGACTTGGTACAGTGAGCTTGAAAAGCGATCAGAGTTGGCTGGAAAGTCCATCCAATACCGATACCAGTAATAGCGACAATGACAGCGATCACTGCGTGATGTGTGTGGCGGTTGAAAAGCAGCATCAGACCAGCGCCTCTAATAAATCATGCCGACGGGTTAGTATCAACGTGTTGAGATAAGATCTTTAATTCCGAGGGAAACTCACAGAGTCCAGAGGCCGAAACCAGCCCATATCACTTCTCCGTACCGTTTGGTTCGAGAAATATATTGACCGGATGCAATGGAAGCAAGAGCCTGGCAACCAACCATGGGAGCAGTCATAGCGGCAGAAGCTATCGGAGACCACCCTCGTGCGTTTTGATAGTACAGTGGCAGGTAATAGAGATACGATTGATACACAGCGCCAAGGAGAAAGCTCTGTAAGAACAAAGCACACAAAACTTTGTTCTTGAAGAATACCACTGTGTGGGGGTCAGCTCCTCTTGAATTATCAAACGGTACGAGTCGTAGCACACCTGGAAGCATTGGCAGGGAGGCCACTTTCCACTCGATGAAGACGAATGCAACCAAAGAGCACGCTCCAATAACAAGCATACTGATCACCATTGCAGAATCCCACTGAAAGTAGGAGCCACCACCTGATATGGGTATAAGCAAAAAGATGATCCCAATGGATGAGGCAATGATGCCGTAGAAGTCGATCTTGCCCAGGTTCTTCCGCACGCCACCCTTACAGGCGTTATTTGGGATAAGTAAAAAGCCGACGACGATGGAGCATGCTGCGAGCGGGGATATGAGCCAAAAGAAGCCTCGCCACGTGGAATTCATGATGAAAGCTGCCGCAATAAAGGGGCCGATCACATTTCCCAGTCCCAGCGATGCTCCGAGAATCCCTTGATACTTTCCACGGTCTTCAAGAGTCACAATATCGGATACGATAATCATAGTCAGCGAACCGACGCCACCTCCTGCAATACCGGCCAGACCTCGAAAGACGTAAAACATTGCTGCATTTTGCGAGAGGCCACAGAGCAAATCGGCGATGCACAGCAGGGCAAGTGCTGATAAGTACACAATCTTCCGACCAAAGATATCAGAGAGACGTCCGTAAAGCACACTGAACATGGTGTTTGCGATCAGCGACGAGGTACCCGCCCAGGAAATGGTATTTTCCGCATGGAGGTCTTTAGCAATTGTGGGAAGAGTGACGCTGATGCCATTTTGATCCACAAACGTGATAAGGAGAGATACAGCAAGAGCCGAGAAGACTACCAACAACTGTACGATCGGTAGAATGTTCATCTGGTCATGCAAGGCCTTTTCCGCCGCCTGTTGCCGATTCATGTTCGTGCGCCTCTGGGGTCTAGCTTGTGGTATCGAGAAATCGTTCTGCTATTGACAGTTGAAGATAGGTAATGTACCCCAGACCATACGCTGCGTCTTGAGATAGGTTCTCCACCAGCACAAGTTTGTCAACAGGATTTTGATCAATTACTTTAAGGCGGACAAGTCAGACATGTACATCGATTTCGGCGCTTTGCACAGAAAGCAACCGCCGATAATATCATCTCAACTGTGCGTTGGCATTTACAAAGATGAAATTTTTTTCATCGCACTGTCCAATGGATGGTCGATCATGGGTGACCTCTCATGACAGTCACAACCCAATTCAAGCAGACGGGGCCTTTATCCTGCATCACTGTCGGATTCTTTCCCGACAAAGTCATGATCGGTGTCAGAAAAGGACATTTTCAGGTAATATCAATTGGAGATTGGCAGACCGGACCAATTCCGCGTCATAGCTGAATGACTGTTGGTGCACACTGAAAATGGATGTGGAGACTTGTCGTCGGCATCTGCCGTTAGTTCCTTCGGACGTCCGATGGAATCAGTGCCGTATTCCGCGCAGTGATTTGGGTGTTGAATGAATCGAATATAGTGTCTCCAGAAGGCCTGCCTGGTACCGCTCGATCGATGGAGAACTTCTATATTTGGTTCACAGTCGCAAACATTATTCAAGCTTCTCCGACCACGGAATGGTCATATATCTTTTTACATCACGTGACACCCAAAGCATTCTCCCATCAACGGTGTACTTCCGGTGTCGCAAATATAAGTGGATTTCTATGATGATGCATATACACCGTTGTTCTCACCTTTAAATACAGTTATGGCATTTCTCGGTGTCATGTCATGGAAACAGAGTAACTGCGGCGAAGTATTCACAGGACCGAGGCCTGCGAATCTCAACCATCATGACTCGTCCTGTGCAAAGGGGGTTTTCATTGAGCAACAATAAGCAGAATGTCCGGACCCTCTTAGGTTCAGACCTGGCCGGCATAGATCGTAAGTTCGTGAGAAGGTCGAGGTCAGTGTGTCAACTTTGACGCCCCGGTTCAGGCAGCTGTAGTGTACGCGCTCAGAGAGCGGTACGGTCCGAGTATCGGCTTGGAGAAGGATTATAGTTTTTGGCAGTCAGGTGGATTTTCCCAGACATGGTCACGTATGTGTGGGTGGAATTGAAACCGGGAGGCTCCCCGGCTGCCATAGCGGCTGTATGGCTCGTGCGTTGACTGAAGGAGCTTCTACATACTCGTTCGTCTGGGCCACATGTTCAACACCGCTGGCACCTGCCTGCATCGAAGAACTTGTAGTTCTGCCGACGGGACCCTGGTTGGTTACGTTATTAGAAGGCAAATATGGCCCACCAGTCAAATTCCCCTGATTTGGGATAAAGCTTTGATTCAAAGCTCCACAAGCAGTACAGGTGAACTCGATCTTGAAGTTGGTCAAGATCATCTGTGGCGTAGGATGGCCACTACTGCGAGGCTGCTGGGGAGATTGAGACGGTCCCGGTTGTGGTGCAGACAGTACTGTAGGTGCCGATAGTATGTAATCTGACTGCTGCTCATCAGTCGTGCGCAGCCCATCATTGAGCGCAATCTGCTGGTGCGGCTGTGCCCCGGGTGGAAGTTGTACTTGGGACGGACCATGCACAGGTTGCGGACGTTGCGATGGAAGCTGTGGCTGCACAGCATCGCGAGTAAGCTCTGCCGGTTGCGGAGATCCGTCGTCGGTCAGCTCGATGGGTCGCTTTTCCAAGAATCCCGGCTGATGAATACTGTCGGGAATCCATCTTTGCTCGGAGATGGCACTGTAAACTGAGCCATTGGCCGACGGCGTCGCGTGAACCTCGGGGCCTGGCTGATCATCCCGGTCTAAACCGCGATCCTGTGGTTCTTCGTTCTGGTGATGTGGTAGCCTGGGTTGTAATTTGGTGAGCGCTCGGTGCGCTTGCCTTATGGATATGTCATATCCATGATACCGCTTGACCGCATCCACAACATCTTGTCCCTTGATCTTGTGACTCAGGTCAAACAACTTTGGTATCTCGTTCAGTAAGAACCGCACATGCGAAGCTTCGGACCGGGCCGGAGTTGTTCCTGGGGATGCCGCATGGCGTCGACAGCTATGGCTATCTTGAAGGCTCGTAATGTAGGTATCGTTTTTGTTCGCACGGCAGACGACGCGGAAGTAGCAATTGGCGGACGACCGACAGCCTATGACAACGCTTTTCTTGTTGCTCCGAGTCACCCGAAGTTCCCAATGCTGTCTGACTGATATACTGCGCACAACTGACTTGAACTCTTCCAGCGAGACGAATCGTTGGCCCACATGGAGCCCCGAGTACATCTCCGTCATGACAGTGGTCGATCACACCGTACAGCCGGGACAGGAGTGTGGTCGCACGTATCGTATTCCATCAGTGGTTCATCTGGACGTCGTGAAGGCCAAGCGCTTTCTGGAAGGCCATACCAATTGAGCTGGGCATTTTCCCCACACGAAGGCACGCCTCTGTGGCCGATCACTGGAAGCTTGTATGCTTGATCAAGAAAATGATATATGTAGAATTTGGCATTACTGCGATGGATAGTGATCCGGGATAGTACGCGCAAGAAGAGCACTGGTAAGCCGTTGCTTTCGCCCAGAAGTACCTCTGGGGTAGTCTGAAAATTGCCGATAAGGAGACGGGGTGAACCACAACATCGGGCGCATGCCGAAAGATCAAGCTGTGCCGCTTTTAGCTTCTTCGACCACATCGGCCTTTCCTGTAACACCTTCATAGCCACGAGCTGAACACTCTTCGGTTGTGGTTATTTTTGCTGCAACCAATACTGATCCCAGCTCTTCATTACCAGATCTAACAGGATGGCGTCGTACGGCTTGCTTGATCAACCGGAGGAAGGTTTGTGTCACCGTTCCTCAAGCTCATTTCCTTCCACACTAAATTTCGCATCCAGATAACCTACACAAGTTACGCCTTTTGAATGTCGAAGAGAAACCCTTCAAGCGTATATCGAAACGACTCCTTAACCCAAATTCCCTCGTGATTTCCAATGCGACAATCCTTCCTACCCCGCCGCCTGACGAAACAGACGAGACCGCTACAGCGGCAGCAGAAGCTGAGAAACAGAAAAGGCTTGATGAATGGCGCAATTTCCGCGAGGACGTGACTCTAGATTTTGCTTCGTTTGAAGGCAGTATCGCACGCATACAATTTCTCCTTACGAGTAACGAGCGAGAACGCGAGCGGTATGCCGCCGAAAAGCTTCGGATTTTGTCCACAATGCAGGCCGTTCGTGAAAACACGGCAGAGTTACGGGTGCAACTTGAGGAAGCTCAACGACTACTAGCATTACGGAAAAGCTATGATGACCTGGCCGAGAAGATCACAAGCAACAGGCTTCTAAAGCCACGCGAAGATCAGCAGGCGAACCTACAGAAGCTCCAAGCAGAGATTGCGGATCTCGAGAATGAAAGCAAGGAATATGCCAAGACGTGGGCTGAGCGGCGAGAACAGTTTGGCCGCATTGTGGAAGAGGGCATGCAACTTCGGCGTCTCATTCGTGATGAGAAGGAGGAGGTGGAGCGCAGAGAAGGGATGCAAGAAGGCGAAGATGGAGATGAAGGCGACGTTCCTTCGAAAGGCAAATCTAGTGGAGCCAATACACCTCGGCCGGAGTCCGATACTGTAACTCCCTCTCAGCACAGCCAGGACGAAGCGGGTCGATCTTCAGCTGGTTTGCACGCAGAGAGAATGTCTGGGACAACAGGGGCAGCGTCTCCCTTGCGACATGTATCCACCGCTGACCAAGAGGATACCAACATGGACGAAGGAGAAGTGACTGGAGACGAGGGGTCAGACCGGCCTGACGAATTGGAAGAAGGGGAGGCTGAACCGGATGATCGGACTGCTGACAGAATGGACACTACATGAGTCTTAAAACTGAGTGGGATTCATATAGCATGGAGTTAGGCTGGAGGCGTTCACATTTTTGTCAAAATTGTCTTATTATACATCAGATTTGTCCTCGACTGGTCAATTTAGTCCTACCTGATGGAGGCCACACAATCTCAAAACACACTGCATTGCGAGAATTCGTACCCATCGTATCTAGGCGATTTCCCTTTTGGCCGTCTTGGCCTTTGCGATGGCCTCCTTGCCAGCAGTGATCTGCTCTACATTGCTCTCGGGGCCTTTCTTTCCCTCCTCGGCCTGTCGAATGTCAGTAATAGCCAGACTGCCGCAATCGCCTCACGACTCACCAGAAGGCTCTCAAGTTTCGCTACCGCCTCATCGATCTTCTGCTTCAAACTGGGCAAAACCTTCTTGGTTTCTTCAAGTGCAAGGCGCTGCATGACTGTCAGAATTCAGGAGATGTCTTTACTCTAGTGAGACTCACCTCCTGCTTCAGCATGTATTCCCGGTTCTCGTCCTCGCCAGCCTGCTGAGACTCCAGCTTTTGGATTCTTTCCGTCTGTTGCTGGAGCTCACGGTGGTAGGACGCCTCTTCCTTCACCAGACGTTCAACAGAGGATGTAGCAATTTCTAGTTGAGAGCGTGGTGCCATATTGACGATTTGGTCTAGATAACTTGTCAGTAATCTAGCATCCAACCAAAGCTTCCATTGAAATAGGCCGGCAGAGAGGTTTTAGATGATGTCATGCAAGTAACATATTTAAAATCTAATTGCTTCCCGGGTGCTTGACATGTGCAAGAGCTACAGCGAATGGGTCCGTAAACAACGCGCATATAATTATTGAAAGGCTTTGACCCTTTGTCCAGTCCAAGATGCAATGGTGCGCCCGTCGTCAAGTGTCTTGATATATATGGCTCGAAATTCCGCAGAGGGGTGAATTCAAATATCACGAACGGAATCAACATACCTTCTGCCTGATTCTTTGTGCTTGATGAAGATAGCTCTCCCGCAGCTCAAGGAGTAACTAATGATAGGACTTTGTTAAGCTGAAGAAGGTGTTTCAAGGTAATCGTCGTCTTCCCATGCCCCTCCATCGCTATGATGCTATCAAAAAGAGCTAGTTTGCAGTGTTTGAAGGGAAATCACGTGGGACGCTTGTGGTAAATATCCACGAGGGAGCGATATCACCTATCCGATATTATTAGCTGCCTGCAGTGAGAGCCAGGTGACGCTTCATGCATGCAAAGGCATGTTCCTGCAAGATCAAAATGCAATTGCTTCTGGTAGCATTGACGCCTTTGGACTCGTGTCATCAGCCCTTAACCTAACATAACTGCTTAACATAACATATGGCATGCTATAAACACTTAAGAGGAGGCTCAGTCTGGGTCAAGGCGCCGGAACCTGCAGGCTGTATCTTTGCCAATAGGCACATTCAGATGAGGCTGCTCTGTGGCCTTTCGCACCTGATTTCCGTAATGAAGTCAACATATGGAGCTGAAACTTCGGTCGACTCAAGCGGCTTTTGGACTTGAAGTGCCCCATAGTTAAAGCCTGGCAAGGCTGACTGGGAGAGCTGTTAGAGCTCAGAAGACCCTTCATTGGCATATAAGCCTGCATTCTTCGCCAAATACCATATCGTAGATGCTTTCTCGATATCGAGTGGTTGCTGATTATATCAGTATTGTTCGCAAGTTAAACTTTGCTTGTCGCCCATATCTCCCCTACTTTCTATATCTCCCTGATATTCTTGACTCTCCCAAGATGCGGTGTGTTGTAATGACAATTCCCACTCGTAGCATAAATGCTCAGAGCGAGCTTGAACCATTTGGACTGAAAATGTACGTTTGGCATATTGAGTTCTTGTTAGACGCTGGCTTATGTATTTTATAGTTATAAGCCGACGTGAAGGAGCTACAGAATACGCCAGGCAGCGAGTACTTCGCTTTCCTAAGCCGTAAAAGCTCACGAAGGAGCCCTCAATCAGGCCAAGATTGATGTGGCTGAGGCACGAATGAGAGGAGAAATTGGTAAGGCCGAAAAGAAAGGACGAACAGAACAGGAGATCTCGAGGATCGATGCCGACACTGCAGTCTTGGAGACAAAGCGAAAGGCCGAAAAGGCCAAGGTAGACTCTGAGCTCATGAACCGTCAGACTGAGCTAGATAACAGCGTTCGGCTTGCCAAAATTGCAGCCCAACGTCAAGCAGAAGTGAGGGACGCAGAGCTGCAAACAGGTTGAGTCCAAGCGTGCAGAAACAGAGCTCGAACGCCTACGAGACGTGAAAGCCACGAAGAGCAAGGTTGCACAAAAATCTGCTCAAGAAAATGCAGACGCTTCCTTCTATACGGAACAGAAAGCCGCAGATGTACAGCTTTACAGGCAAAAGATGGAAGCCGATGCGACCTGTACGTCTTTTGGAGTTACGTTTCCCTGCCTTTTTCATTTGCACTGATGATGTCAGATTATCGCCAGAGCAAAGAGGCAGACGCCGCTTTTTATCAGCAGAAGCGCGAGGCAGAAGGAATTCTAGAGATAGCCAAAGCATATGGCGCGCTCGTCGATGTTCTCGGTGGCCCTCAGGCTTTCCTGCAGTATAGGATGCTGGAGGCCGTCTCTTACGAAGTTGGCTCAGACAAATGGTCTTGCTATTCAAGGACTTTATCCCAGGATCACTACATGGAACACTGGTGAGTAATACCGCTTCGTCCTCCGCGATAATGGCATTGTAACATCCTTCCAGGGAATGGGTCCAGTTCCAGTGACACGATGGGCCCGATCAGTGACATTATGCAGAGTCTTCCGCCTCTTTTCAGCACAATCCATGAACATACTGGCATTCCACCGCCGACTTGGTTGGCTTAGATGCCTTCTGGTCAGAAAAGTCAGTGATGAGCATACTAGAAACCTGGTGAGCTTGGGGCTGTTCGGGAGTTGCTTTGTGGAAGGTCACACCGCTGCCATTGCTTTGTTCTCAACAATTTTGTCCTTTCTTACAGCGCCGTGCATTCGCAGCCTTTAAATAGATATGGATTCATCTTGAGTAGGCAACTCTTGTCCACCTTGCTTCAAAGTATCTTGTGATATAATGGGCAGTAGCCGTCATGCGGCAGTTCCACAAATATATCCACAGCTCCACCATCACATTAAGAATCCCAAGTCATTGGAAGGACCATCGCTCAATGTTCATCAACCTGTTACTGTCCAGTAGGCAAACTAGCTCTCAATCAATAATAGCCAATTGATGATTTTCAGCAGATCCTCGGATGTCTTCATTATCTTTGGTGAATCAATATCGGACCAATAAGATCATGTGACAGGCATCATCCGCCTTCGGCCATTGTCATCGACAGTTGTACATCCTCATCTCATTTTCAGCCCGAGTACATAAATACTATGGGGATGATTGACTGTTGGCGGTTGGTATATATGCTTTGGCGTCCTTTTATCTTTACCTCGTCCGATACTTCCGGATCTTCAATTTTCTCTACCTCCTTCATGCCATCATCTTTGTTCTTATCTACCCTTCCATCACATCCAGGATAATGCCGCCGCCATCGCTTTTACAGCTTTGCACCTCGACTGCCATTAGGAACGTCAAATGTCAGTTTTAAGTGCAACTGCTCCCGTGCTGGAACATTTTCTAACAGTATTCCTAGATTTGAACGATATTGGCAATGTCCCCTATTCGCTTGCTCGTCCGTTTCTTCTTAAAATAGAGAGCCCCGAGAAACTCGTGAGTGGTAGCTCCTGTTTACATACTGTTGGGTCGATTTGCTGACGCTCAACCGCTTGCGCAATGTTAGAGATCTCTAGAATTGCTTTCACCGCATATCATGGAAGACGATGCCGAACTGTGGCTTGATTTCATTAAAAGGGATATACCAAGATGGGACGAGTACGATTTGCCCGAACAGCCCGATTGCTGGTACGATATATACTGCGATCTCCAGCAACGTGTCCAAAAAGCAGTGGAGGAGGACGCAGAGAAGCTCAAGATGGCTCTCGATGGCATCAACTCTGAGCGTGCCAAACATAGCGCTAAGTTCGTCACTGACCGACGGATTATTCCGCTGCCTCGAGAAAGGCCAACAGCGAAGCAACGGTATGCTTCGTTCGACAGGAAGATGGGAGGTCTTACGCCAAGATTCGCTTCTTCAAGGGGCGGGCAAGGTTCGTCTGATCCCCTGGGCGCACCTGTCTGGTCGTATGAACGACCACAGCTTCCTCGGCCGGAGAAGAAGAAGAGCAATATCTTTAACCTGCCGAAGAGAAACCCTGTCCTGGCAGTACCAAACAAGCAACTAAACAACAGAGCCAGTCAGGTTAAACAGGCGCCTCTTTCTCTGATTGAGGAGCACCGACGACCGCCTGATCCGGTTGTTCCTCGGCGCAACGGCCCTCCAACTTTAGTAGCACCCGGGCGATCCAAGCTGCAGAGTACCCGGTCCCCTGGAGGGTCTGGCAATTTGGTTGTTAGCGCGTCATTGCGCGAAAGAGAAGCGAGGCTCCGAGCGTTGACTTCGGGGAAGCAGACGGGCTCATCGACCCCGAAGTCTTCTGAAGACTCGCCGGCCCGGGCTCCGGCTCCGGCGCCATACCGAGCATTAGGAACGGCCGTAAGCAAAAGCTTGCAGTATCCTCCGTCCTCATCCTCGACTCAAGAATCGTCTGATTCTCCTTCGGCGGGCCGATTACAGGGTACGAATGAGACGGCCACTTCTGAGAGCGCCAAATCGGCTCCGCTGGAGCCGATTCCGGACTCCGACATCTCAGGGGTTCCTCCCGCTCAGCCGCCGCGCGCAGTCATGCGGAAGAGACCGGCACCGAGTCTGTTCATCCAGCCAAGGAAGAAAAAGGTCAATTAACGACCAGCTGTGTGTTCATGGTTGAGGGATGACTTTTTTTATGGACTATACATAGCTTCGAATTTCTGGATACTTTCATCTCACTGTTGACATTCATCGGCGCTGATCGTTTCTATTCGTTGGCAATATGGTCGGCTCCTTTATTTCTGTCACGGATCATTTTTTGGGTCATCGCGGGATTAGCCATTATATCCGTATGGAGTTTGGATGGGACATGACGGAATTGGTGCAAATATGGTACAGCGTGGACAGTTTTCCCATAGCGTGATGATGCATGATACAATGTAGTTAAAGCTTAGAAATAGTCCATCTTTCAGAGCGAGTGAACAAGGGATGGCCACTCTTCTCTCCCTCTTGATGTGTACATTCTTCAATGGTGTCATTAATGCGTTCACATGGTCAGTAGAAAGACGTCTAGGCTTAAAGAGAAAGAAATCATGCAGCGCCTGGTGTGCAAGGGCCGTGCGCGACAGTCGAGGATCAAGTGCTCTTCCACTTCGTTCGTCACAGCTAATTCTCAGTCGCTTCCTCCTGCCCAACACGACTCGGGTATAGTATGGGCGAAACTTCGTATGCCATCCTGGTGGCCTTCTCCGCTATAAGATCGAAAGTATCCCACGGCGCCAGCTCATAATCTATTCGCGTAATCGTTATGGCGTCAACCGTGTTGAAGGAATCCATTAAGCGTCGCAACCACCGCGCAGAGCAAGGACAAGATGCAGCGTCGCGCCACCTTCTAGGTTATATTCCGCAGCGGTCTTGTCATCGGCCCTTCAGATGCGTACTTCGTCAGCGTATTGCACCAGCAACATAGATAGTAACATGACATACATTTGCTTTCCGCCGAAAATTAGTCGTTGTTGAACGGGGGGGATACCCTCCTTCTCTTCGACGCGCTCCTTTATCCGGGACACCTGGTACAACACTCAGTATATGATTCACAAAATCCTTCGGTATGCTGTTTGCAGGTCTTCTTTTGTTCCGTCCATGGCGCGATGATGCTGTCGGGAACGCAGAATCATACGATGGCAGGGACGACAGCAAAAGGGAAGCGTAATATGCAATAAACCAGTATGTACCTTGTAATCAGACTCGATGTCCAGTTCGATTTCCTTGCCGGTAAGGGTACGGACTCTAAAGTACATCATCGGTAAGCCCCAAGTCTCCAGTGCCAGACACGATTGATCAGCCCGTCGCTTGCAGTGATTTACTCACTTGATCAACATTTTCAGGTTTAGTCGGTGAAATGCAGCTGAAGGACTTGAATATAAAAGCAAGAAGTAGCTGCTAACGCGCTAAAAAGTAGACAGTATATTGAGGCGAGCAGGAGTGAGATGATGGTGGTTGATCGGAGATGATGGTGACGGAAGGCTTCGCCGTAGCGGGGTTATCGGTGGGGCAATAGAGAAGGGGACTTTTGATGTAGAGGTAGCCTAACAGGACATCCCTTTGTAGCTGGATAATCTGTTTCAAGGACAGCTTTTTGGCATAGGATTTATGTCAATGTACGATATTCTCCATGTATTTTCGTGTTAGCTACACGGGCAGGGTTGGGGTTGTCTGGTCTCTACTACGTGTGACTGCAAAAGTAGCCCGTTGTGAACTTGATACTGTGCATGCACTAGTAGGTATATATTTGCTATTTTTGGCTGGCAGGAACCAATACTTAGATCTACTCGAATTTCGACCATTGACACCAACATTACCAAGACACTTTCTCCAATATGGCACAAGACCCAAGCAAAAACCCCTTTGACGAATTGATCTCCAAGTGTCAAGGCGATCCGGTAAATGCCCATAGCCTCATCTGGAACAATACGTAGTTGTTGACTCAAATAGGCTAAGATTCAAGCTCAGTATGAAGCACACAGGTCTACAAGGAACGCAAAGTCCAAGGCCCATCTCCTCAGCCCGGACTTCGCAGGATGGCAGGTTGACGAAATCCTAAAGATGCTACATGTACAAAAGACTCTACCTAGCAATGAGAGCCAGACACCTTTCATTGATCACAGAAACAATCTCAACTTTTACGCACGACCACCACAGCATATAAAGGACTTGATTGCTGAGATTCAGAAAGAAATTCAGAGTGCTGTACCAAGTGAGATATCCACCAGCTTCTGTCTAAGCCATGACTGACCGTTGATAGACATATGGCTTACACCACCAGACTTTCTACATACGACGGTCCTTGAGATAGCCAGTTCCCGGTCTTCTTTGGAGGTTGACACTCTCGTGTCTCATCTAGAGCAGAGTGGTGTGATTCCGGATTTGGTAAACTATACCTTCAACCACCGGGCTCGGTTGGTCAAGCCTATTGTCAGCTTCGACGCTGCAGCCATGGCCCTTAGCTTTGTTCCTGCAGCTGGAGAGCAATCAGGATGGAGTCGCTCTGCCGACGATGATCAATATACGTATCACCATCTGCGACGAGATTTGTATGCTGGGGTCGAAGCTACGGGAGTACAGCTGAGACCTAGATACCTAGTACCCTCGGCGCATATCACGATTGCGAGGTTCATCACACATGATGGATTTCAGCTTGAGAGATTGGGCGCGGATGGAGAACCGGTGTTCGATTGTGAGCGCGTTGCGGCCTTGGTAGACAAGATCGAACGGATCAACCAGAAAATTCAAGCAAAGTACTGGCCTGGAAAGAATCGGACCGTATCCTCTGAGGCAGTGTGGGTCGTGGGAGAAGAAAGGGGATTAGAACTCTGCAAGGGTCCATGTTGGTACGGAGAAGGAGAGAAAGTGCTTGTCGGGAAAGCATTTGCGCATGAGGCTGAAGACAAGACGTCTTAGAAAACAGAGCTGCTCAGCTTAATCACAAAGAATCCAACAGTTGATAAGGGCGATCCGAAAAGATTAATGATTAATGATGGTAGTGACAGAGATGATGCCTGGGGCAGCCAGCGGCCTTGGCGGGCATACCCGATGCGGTTAGTGTCCACCCGAAATAGGGCCCTAAGCGAACGAAATCCCACAACCCACGTACAGTCCGACTTGCTCCTCTCCGACAAGAGACTATCCAACGACCAACAATCTCGCGATCCGGCAACTCAGTCAAAATGGTAAGACTTATTTGCGTTTTCTTGCTCACCTGCTGTTTCCATCCTGGAGATTCGGAGGATTTCTGTCGAAAACTCGGTACTTGGTGATGCAACGAGATGTTCGTTCGGGGTTGAGGACGAAGAAGTTGCGGACAACGGAAAAATTGATGAAAATGCTATCGATCGCAAACCACGATAATTTTTGCTCGGATATGAGACATTGAACTATTCTCATTCGTCAGAGTTCAGGATAATATGGGATATTCCTCGAAGCGATCAGGACGCAACGAACGCCCGGACAACGAAAGACTCGGCGCACCAAACACGAATATGACGACGAATATTCTCTCACCAGAAGAACTTGTGATCTAGTTTCTGCGAGAAAGCTGAATGTCTTCCTACGATAACCGGTACCGAGTTTGATTGGATTCTCCGATGAACGGGACATGGAAACGCGCAGCACCAAGAAGTTGTTGGATTGTAGCGGACAGTTGCTGATAGCTCTTGCGTTCCAGGTCAACGTTCCCAAAACCCGCCGGACGTACTGCAAGTCCAAGGAGTGCCACAAGCACACCCAGCACAAGGTCACCCAGTACAAGGCTGGCAAGGTGAATACAACCCACACGCCATGGTAGACGAATTGGCACAGGCACTGATGATGGATCTATTAGGCCTCCCTGTTCGCCCAGGGTAAGCGTCGTTACGACCGGAAGCAGAGCGGTTACGGTGGTCAGACCAAGCCTGTCTTCCACAAGAAGGCCAAGACCACCAAGAAGGTCGTCCTGCGTCTTGAGTGCACTGCCTGCAAGGCCAAGAAGCAGCTCGCTCTGAAGCGTTGCAAGCACTTCGAGTTGGGGTACGTTGAGTCTGCGACTGTGGCGATATCTGATCCATATATACTAACGTGGGCTTTTCGCTGTGTAGTGGTGACAAGAAGACCAAGGGTGCTGCTCTTGTTTTCTAAATTTGCGATTTCCTTGTTCGGCTCTGGGTTTCGTGCATTGCAGACCGGTCTACTACTCCGGCGGAGGGCATATGACATTGGCAATGGAAAAAATGAAATAGGAATTCATATTCACAAAATGACAATATGACTCCTAGATTATGAGTCTCTTCACGAAATTCTCTTGTGTTACATGTAGACCATTGCGATAGCTTCTCAACCCTTCCAAGGTATTTGACAATGCGCGCTGCCAATGACAGCCTTCTCTTTGTCAAGTCCCGAAGCAACGGCCTTTTGAGGACCTCTGACAAGAACATATATCAGGCAGAACGAGCATACAGCCTCTCATGGGACTCATACCTGAATAGTCGTCTAAGGGCCACAGAATTGGAGAAGGAAATCATGTCAGTTTCCATCGAATATATCTTGGCTCCAGCGAGTGTGGCTGCACCACCCGAACGCTACTTGCGTCGAGTATTATCTTCGTTCTACGCATCTTCTCATTATCATCCAAAATACAGCGTCCTTTTGCCAGGGAGTAGACGGAAGTACTATTAAGAAAATGAGTAGTTCTCAATCAACCTGATCACCGACGGACTTTGTCCGACAATATCAACAACTCACGGTTTCCTCGTATTCAAGTTCGGGCATTGGTATCGTGAAGTTATCCAAAAGAAGACAAGAAGTCAATCTTCTCTGCTATCAAGTAGGACCTGTTATTATCCCACCTTCATCACGTCCCTGCTGCCCCTTACGCTTTGATCTTTGCTGATCATTGTATTTGACAGATACTAGGGGTAATATCTCTAGCTAAATTTCAGCAGCATGATTCATTTGCTTTGCGAGTGACGTCTTGTATCGCTAGCCCAGCCGTTGCACCACATCCATTGGTCTCCGCGATGCGGAGTAACCACCGATCAAATGAACCCCCACGAATGACTCGGATATCCCCACGTTATCCATTCTGGCTGAACTTTGCTGAATAAAGGGAATCTGAAGCTAGACGCACGAAGCTCGGTATTATCTACCCCAGATAGAGTGACCCCATGGGGCCTGCTCCTCGGCCATCCTCCGAGTGGGACTGATTGTTACACGCCCTCGGCTTGCTGTCGCACAGTATACAGCCGCCAATCTATTGCCTTTTTTGCTACTGATGGAGGTTGACATATAAATGGCAGTGGAATCTTGGGATCTGGGCCTGTCCGGCAGATTGTCGTCTTGCATCTTGCACCTAGGAACATTCTTGCGGACTTTGTAAGCTCGGATTGTGCAAGATGACGGAGTGGTATACCCTGAGTATTGCGCTTTTTGCGGCCATTGGGACATTTCTTTTTGTATGTTTCTGATGGATATGGCATGTTAGCTGTGCTAATCGCAGAGCAGGGCTTTGATACAGGAATTGCCACAACAAGTAAGCAGGGGATTGCGCTACTCGATTCGATATCTTGCAAGGGGCTAATTTCATAATTCTGTCAGCTATTGCCCATGGAAGCTGGATCAAATATATGGGCCACCCGTCGGCCGGCCTCACCGGAGCGGTATGTGTAGATTCTCCGCAATATTCAGGATTCGATCTGACATGGCCAGGTCGTCGCCGTTTATATCGCTGGCGAGGCAGTCGGCGCCCTCACACAGACCGCGATCGGCGATAGACTGGGTCGACTTCGGTTCATGGCCCTGATGTGTGTGGTCGTGACGATAGGAACGACTATCCAGACAGCGTCAGTCAACATTGGGATGTTCCTCGCCGGTCGTGCCCTTGCCGGATATGCTGTTGGGTAAGAAGCCCTTCCTCTGACCCTGCATAGATTTTCCTCGACTCACTTAGTTGCAGAGGAATGGTAGCTACTGTGCCCATCTATCTCAGTGAAATCTCGGACCCGCGCCATCGAGGCCTCATAGGAGGTATCTCAGGTTGCGGAATCTCCTTCGGAACCATGGCATCGAACTGGGTCGGTTTCGCCTGTAGCTTTGCGCCCTATGGACCCGTGCAATGGCGACTGCCGCTGGGTATCCAGATCCCCTGGGGCGTGATCATGTTCGTTGGGCTGGTTACCTTCATGCCCAACTCGCCGCGGCATCTGATCCGCAACGGCAAGATCGAGCAGGCGCGCAGCGAGTTCGTGCGGATCCGGAGGGATCTGCACTCGGATGATGTGCATCGGGAGTTTGAGCTCATGCTTGCGCAGATCAACTACGAGAAGGAGCGGGAGATTACTTCCTACCGGGAGATCTTTCGGCTGTTCCGGCACCGTGTGCTCGTGTAAGTGCTACTGGCCAAATGGAGATGCTCCAGCTGACGGGGTGTAGTTCAATTGCCGTGCAGACGATGACTAGTCTGACTGGAGTGAATGTTATCCAGGTATGTCATGTCATGATTATGTCCCCCAATTGATCTACTATTTGAGACTCGACTAACATGGGCACACCCTAGTACTATCAAAGTAGGAGACCCTACCTGGTCTGACTTCCTAAACTGGAGCTAACCACAACGAAGCCATCCTCTACAAATCCCTCGGCATCGATTCACACACCATCCTGGCCCTAGCCGCCGTCTACGGCACAATCGCCTTCCTCACAAACTGCCTCACAACCAAATACCTCACTGACCAGTGGGGACGCCGAAAGTAACCACCTCTGCCATCCAAGTATCTCCATGATCCAAACTAATCCACATCTGCGTCGCAGAATGATCCTTACCGGCCTAGGCGGCATAATCCTCATCGAGATCTACGCCGCAGTCATGCAGCGCGAATTCCAAAACACAACCAACCGCGTCGGAAAAGGCTTCGCCATCCTGGGTATCTATCTGTTCGTCGTGATTTATTGTACGTCCTTCCTCTCCTCTACCTAAACCCCGAGTGCATCCATCCCATCCCGGTTATCAGTGTGGAACGAAGAAAAAGAACCGTACTAAGGAATACCAGACGGCATGCTAAACAGCACAACCTGGCTCTACGGCGCCGAGGTCCTCCCCATCGCGCTGCGAAGTAAAGTAATGGGGCTAGCGGCCGCGTCGCATTTCATCGTCAATGTTGCTGGTATGTTCCCTCGACTCTCTGGGTAAAGTGCAACGAGCCTAAGATATCCGAATGTACAGTCACCGAAGCAGGGCCCAGTGCCTTTGCGAACATCCACGAAAACTACTACTATGTCTTCGTGACATGTACGGCGTTCTTTTTCGTGGTGGCTTATTTCTATTTCCCGTAGGTTGATGGATCTGTTACTGGTTGATGTTTACTGATATACTGCTAGTGAGACAAAGCAGAAGACTCTCGAGGAGATTGCCGCGTCTTTTGGTGATCACGTTATTCTACCTGAGGATCGGGGTGATGAACAAGCCGAGGAGGAGGAGGACGACGACGATGTGAAGAAGGCCAAGTCGAATTCTCAGCAAATTGAGGTGGCTGTTGCTGGAAGAGATGCTTCGGTTTAATATTGATGTGCATGATAATTAGGATTAATGGTCTGTCATGAGGGATATACGTGTCTGCGAAGCAGAGCACAATTATTGTCAGAGTGCTTGCCGCACGCTGTTCGAGTGTTCCTTGGTCGGATTGATAGAGTCTCACCAGTGTATGTGTACAATGGTTCCGTCAACGGCTGGGAGACCTTCTCTTTTCCCAAAACGTACTTCCATATCTGGGGAACACACGGAGCAGATATTCACACACAGATCTAGATGATTTTGTCGTTTTCATAGATATCCTTACTGTACTGATACTCCGCCCTCTTACATCCAGCCAGAGTACAACCAAATAGCTCTATCGGTCTCGCGTTACAACCCACGCCGTTCTAGATCCCGCCCGACCCGCTGCTGACCGCGCATCTGGCGAGAGTGTGTTACTCTGTAAAACATTCATGGCTCTACTGCATGTTGGGACATATTGAGGGCTCCTGCATTGGTGTGACACTCCACGGAAGTGCATCGGGCTGAATCTAAGTAGGCTGAGGAAGTGAAGGGATTGGGAGGTACGGACAGAAGATAAATTTAGAGCAGCACAGTGATTCCGGCCATGCTTCCCCGCATCGAAGACAGCTCTTTGTGGGAACGACCTCTGCAGCTACAAACAACAAAATAATGTGATCATTATCCAATGCCGCTGCAATGGGCGGCATAGAGGGAGAAGCTGCTGTTTGAGGCATGAAATGCGGACGGGGACTTCTTGAGGTACGCGCCATTGCCCACATTCCGGCGGACGTGTTACTGCAACAGGGCTATATCCTTCCTCGGCCGGATCAACGGCATAGCAAATCACCTCGATGAGTTGGGGCATGCCAAAGAATAGCGAGGAGCAACGACGGGAGAGGTCTACAACGAATCCGGAATAGATCTGGCGCTGGGCCAACAAAGCGGCTCTGTTTGTTTCATTCGTTGCGTCAGCAGAAACGCCAAGCTAGCCATATCTTTTTTCGACAGCGATTGCGGATGAAAATTTTGTTGCGAAGACAACCGAGATAAAGGTCTTATCACAATGGCTGTTGCTGTATCCAGGATGTCCTCCTTCCGGATATGCGGACACTCCCGGTGTGCGCGAGATTCAAATTGAAAGGTAAACAGCAAGTCTTCAACCAAAAGGAGCGTGTTGCATGTATTCCATCTCCTAACCTATTGCGCCACGAGATATGGTTCGGGCAATGTGCAAATATTTTCTCGAGACAACTTGTTCCATCGTAGTGGATCCGAGAAGCCTGTGGCAACACGTAGTTCGGCTTCCCGAACCTCATCCATCAGATATCGTGCAGCATCACCACATCAACGATTTTTAGGTGGGTGGTCTTTCGAGTTCGGTCTCGTTTCAGGCGTGGTGAGATCATCCCTGATCCGACAGGCATTTGTCTCCTACATACCGAATTGTATGCGCATAGGAGAGCCCAACATTTGACTTTTATGACAAGGTGGTTGACGAAAATTGGTGGTATAATCAAGGATGGGCTTCCCGACAATCCTATAACCTGGACAGACTTCATGGGCACGGCGATTTGTCGGGCTCCTTAGAAAAAGAGAGGCCAGGGCCAGG